GAGGAGCTGGGGTCTCCTCATGTCACAAGGGGGCATCTGGGAGCCCCGGGGTCGCTCAGGAGGAAGGGGCCGGAGGAGCTGTGAGCCCAAGCCGTTAGTGTGGCTTCTGTGTGAAAGGACGGGAGAGGCGCAGCGAGTCTGAGAACTGTATGTCTGGCTTAGCGGGCCCTGGGGCCTGCGCGCCGCCCCTCACTCTCTGGTCCCTGGTTCTGGGTGATTAGGGAAGGGGCAGTGAAGCAGAGTGTGAGAGTTTAATGAGGGAGGGAGTAGGCTGTGGGCTCCGGAGTAGCCGGTTGGTGTCTTAAACATGTGAGCAGGCTGTGTGCCACAGGAACTGGCTTAGTCTAGAAAGGGCAGCCGCTACCTCCCCCCACAGACACCAAAGCACCGGAACACAGAACTAAGACATGGCTCTCACCCAGGTCTGGCTTCCGAAAGCCCAGGACCAGTCTGGGCCTCAGCGTAGTCCTGGGAGGTCACGGTGTCCGCCTGGGCTCCCCGACTGTGGGTGCATGCACTCTATGGCATTGTCTCAGGACATCTTGTTGCAGCTGAGGGTCCTGAGCGAGGGCAACCATGACCCACCTCCCCGCCACAGCCCTGCTGTCAATTGGACTCTGCAAGTGGAAGCTTCCTTCTCAGCTGCGGAGAGCAGCAATACATTTCAGACTTTCTGAACAGATTTGAGATCTCTTGAGTCACACAAACTAGCAGAAGTAGGGCCACCTCAACTCCCTTCCCTTCTCAGAATCAGGATTTGGCAGATCACTAAATCTAGCTGTGCTCCTGTGCTCTGGAATGAATGGGTCCTTGGACTGCTTCTCTGATGGTTACACAGCCCTATGCTTGGCAGTAACCATACGCAACAGAGGGTCGCTGGACAAGGAAGCAGACAAGATAGCATCACTTAGGAACTAAAAGAGAACACACACAGAGATGGGGAAGAGATGGAAAGGCTGTTTGACAAATAATATCTTCCATCCACTCCCCCAGGAAAAGCATAAAACTATGAACAAAAGGGGATAAACTTATAATTTAGGTGAAATATAAGCAGAACAGTCTTATTAAGTCTAGGGTTACATGTAAGATGGAGTTCAGGGCAATCAAGACGTGAGTGAGCTCTCTGGATTTAATTTCTGAAATTCTTGTGTGCCTTATCGTTTTTCAATCCAAGTCTGTCTGGGGAGGGAGTATGGCGGGTGATGTAGCAAAGTCATCTCAATGCAAAAGTGAGAAGTACATTTGTTGGCATGTTATGCATTTGTGGTCAATTATTCTTCCCTTCAACGTGGTGTTTTGTGCTTAGTTCTTGCCATGCATGAAAATGTGCTCAAGTGTCCCACCCCAGGATGCACAGGACGGGGGCACGTGAACAGCAACCGCAACACTCACAGGAGGTAATGCTGATGATTTGCTCATCATTTTATGTTGTAAGAAGTGAGAGAGACTCTCTACCAAACGAATAACAAACTCTGTGTAATGAGGATCGCGCATCCTTATCAAATACCTTACCACTAGAAATGGATAAGAAATAGTTTCAGCCCGTGAAGAATAAAAAAAAAAGGAAAATTACTTCGTTCTTTGCCTTCCTAGAAACGTTTGTATTAGCAGCCATTTAAAATGAAGAAAAATGTTGTATTTGAAGATACTGTGGTTCTATGTTCATCCAATCAGATGAACAGAGTGTGTTTTCTCTCCCATAGTCTCACCATTGCAGTTTTGACAATGAAAAGAGTCTCTTACGGGTTATCTTTAACACCAGTGGGCATTCAAATGGTATTCCAGGGGCTGGGGATATAGCTCAGTGGTACAAGTACCTGCCTGGCAAGGGCAAGGTCCCAAGTTTGATTCCCGGTACAAAAAAAAAATGGTATTTCAAAAGCTTCAATATTCAGTGGTTCTAAGTGTAAACTTTGTGTCGAGGTGACATGATTTCACTGAGATTACAACTAAAAACAAGCTCAAGCCAGGCGTGGGGGGGCATACCTGTAATCCCAGAACTTGGGAGGCTGAGGCAGGAGTATCGTTGTGAGTTCAAGGCTAGCCTAGGCTACAAAGTGAGCTCAAGGCCAGCCTGAACTGCATAGCGAGACCCTGTCTCAAAAAGGCAAATAAAATAAAATAAAATAAAATAAAGCACATATAGGTGCATTTATAGCCAAATATATTACATATATATAAATATTTTGGTGAAAAGTGGATTGTCTCATGTGCACATTTTATATCTCATGTAGATTATGTAAGGCACTATTTAATTTATAAGCATATTGCCAGAAAATTTAATGGTCTACACCTCCTATTTAAACTAACATATGAAATTCAGTCTTTAAAATGTTGTTAAAAAGCCTGAGATAACTAATAGAGTTACCATGTTAAGTTCTTTAATTGGACAAATTACATTTGGAGTGAGCACATTGTCCTTAATATATTAAGTTCCAAAATCCTATAGTTACTTCTCCTTCACATAATATTTTCACTTTTTAAAAGAGAGTTTATCTGAGTGAGTTTATCTTTCATCTCTGAGGTGGAGATGGGGGACATGCACTGACACTGCCATTTGTACAAGCCTTTGGGGTCTTTTAGTGTGAGAATGGTGCTAAGTGAACTATTAATATGTCTTAACATTTAATGTGTGCCAGATGCACTGCCAGGCACGTGCCAAAGCCAATCACATTTTCATTTTAACTCACATCCTCCTGCTTTTCTTTTTTGAAACAGTCTTTCTGGTTGTCCAATTGCTGCAGCTGAAAAACTGGCCATGTCCCAAGATAAAAATCAGCTCGATTCTTCCCAAACCGGGCCGTGTCCTGACCAGGCCCACAGGTATGAACTCCCAGAGGCTCTGGCTGGTCTGTTCATGTCGTGATCTTACCCAGCTGGGCCCCTCATCCTCTGTGTCACTTCCCTGTGGCCTGATCTTCACTCTCAGCCACCAGTGGACCTGCGTGGACAGCCCACGGGAAATGCTGGTTTGTGAATGACACTTCCTTTACGTGAGCTATGGGCTGCCCAGAAGGTCAACGTGAAACTCTTCTATTCACAAAGGAAACATGAAAGGGTGAATCTAAGAGGACTAAAGCATACAATAATGTATATTAATTAAAATTCTAAGTCATTAATGTAACACAAGCCTCAAGTCAGATGAGTCTCTATGAATGACTTTGTCTTCCTCACCTGTGGAAAAATGCCATCATAAACCACTGTTATGTATTTATCTTTTACTTCCACATATAAATATAACTTTCTTTAACACAAACATTCATTCCAAGGCAGCTGCTATTAAAATATTTCCCATTGGTCTTGTAGCTACCAGGTCCTTCATGGGAGACTTTATATCTAAATAATAAAGTATATATGATATGCTTAATATGATGGTATAGTCTATAAATGTATTCTATTCTGTAAAGGCCAGACATGTAGGAAAAGTGATTTCAGAATTTAGAAGATGATTAGATGACTGTTGTTTAAAAGTACTGAAATGTAAAAACTACTTTTAGGCCTTTCCAGATTTTCTGGATCAGCTTCCCTTCATACTTTGCTTCCATAGATTTAATTGAGAATCAAAATTTGCATTCAGATCACATGAGCAAAAAACATACATCAAATGAAGATCATGAATTACTAAATAACAGAAATCTTAAAATGGAATTCATCGTTAATATTACTGTATCCTCTAATTTCCCCCAAGATTATTTATCAAATATAGAAATAACATTGTTTTATTTTGTACAAATCTTAAAATATTTTGGTTGTTTTACATCAGAATGAGTATGCAGCTTTGAGGGTATAAACCAAAAAATATACAATCTCTCAAATAATTTTCAGTAGCAGCTAAAGTTTTTCACCTATCCAAAATAATTATTAAAACTGACATGCTGATGAGTTGGAACCGTCTGTTGGAAAGTAGAGGGAAAAATTACTTTTTATATACTAAACTCTGAAAGGTTAGACCATAGCAAAAAAAAGAAAATTGTTGGCTAGAGCTGGCAGCACACATATGCAATCATTCTACAGGAATAGTTAACTCACATTTACCATGGCGTGGAATAATTCTATCAAAAATACATCACGTATTATAGTAATTTGATTCATACTAGAATGATGGCAATTTAAGACACTGAAATACTGAAATGCTATTAAAATATTACTTAAATCTGCAAAAAACATGCACCCTGGAGGTGGGATAAACTGGAGAACAGTCTATAGTAAGATATTTTATTTTTGCCAAAAATATGCGGCATCCAACATAAATAACCACTGACAACTTGTTAGACTCAGAAAAAAATTATATACATATAATGTTTTCTATTTATTTATACAGTTATGTATATTATATATGAACAATATATGGCCACATAAATATCTTTAACTCAGGAAAAGCTAGCCAATAAAAGCATTCTATACACTCACATAGTATAGATACTATAGGAAGGAACTCCATTCAGGAGCAAGTCTTCTGGCATCTGCACTGCTCCTGTTATGCGTTAAGCATGTTTGTGTCTCTTCCTTGCTAATTTGATCAACAGTTCTAATAAGTCGAATGCAGATACCTTGTCAGTGCCTTAAATAATACCTCCTGATGGTGACATCTGCATGAGGAGCACAGAGGCTCCTGTGCCCTTCTTTTAGCATTGGCAAATCGGGACAGACCTGGCAGCAGTGTCATCATCAGGGAGACCCAGCTCTTGTGCTTCTTGTGCTGTGGCTGCGCCTCTGCTCCTGCTGGTGTCTCTATGCACACAGCGGGCAGTGATTCTTCCACCCACTGTGAATCCTGACACTGATGCACTCACCGACAGTTTCAATGCCTTTCTTTGGAACTCTTTCTCCCATCTCTCCAGGACAAGCTTGGTGAAGCAAATTGAGTTCAATTTCCGATCGCAAGCCATCACCTCTCCCAGAGCCGCCGTGTCAAAAGACCAAGAGAAGTTTGGGAAAGTACCGTTTGATTATGCCAGTTTTGATGCCCAAGTTTTTGGTAAACGTCCCCTTGTACAAACAGGGCAATGTCGAAAAACACCACCATTCCCTGAATGTAAGCTTCAAATTCAAATTCTATTTATTACCCCAAAATGTATCTTATGAACATTACTTACAGAGGACAGGAGACAGTATATATTGAATACTGAAGTAAAAAGGGAAAACAATAAGTGAATCAGTGTTACTTATCTTATACTGAACTTGTACTGAACATGGTGAATAATAAATGGGCTAGTCTACAAATATAGTGAATACAGGGTCATATTTCAGTCTAAACACAAGAATTCTAAAGATACTGGATTGGGATTAATGTATTGATATTAATGTGATATACTATTATAATGTGATACTTATTGTAATTACTTTTATTCATGTTAAAGTTATAGAAATCTAATAGATAAAAGTGTTGAAATACTATTTAGAATATTACTTAAATCGCCAGAAAGCATTTGGGGGGAGGGAAATGTGAAAAGCCTAAGAAACGCAATTCAGGAATCCAGACTTCCTAGAAAAATAGTATATGTAGCAGTTGAAAAGTTTACTTTCAAATTTAAGAATTAATATAGAAATATTTAAAGTGGATCAATACTCTTTAATTATAACATATCCATGTAAAAGAAACCCTAATGAAGATGGTATAATCTATAAAACTCAGTGTTTTAATATACACATTTCTTTAAGTTGTTTAGAATTCTTTAGTATTGTAATGAAAAGGCAAGAAAATTAATGTTGTAGAAAAAAACACAGGAAATGATTCCTGAATTAGGGTAACTTAACTTCCATGGAGAAAGAAGCTAAATATTTATCACTTGGTGTCCTCCATGCACCATGGCTTTTTTTAAAAAACCATATTGCAAACCTGTGGAATACCAAGATCACTAAGTTTAGTACTCTTATGTATATGCTTCATTATGTCCTGCTGATCCACACTTTTAGAGAACTAGAAGACTGCATGAAACCCAGCAGTGGGCTGGGGTTATAGGGATAGCTCAGGGGTAGAAGCCTTGCCTTGCACTCCTAAACTAATGGCCCAACCGCTAGCACTATTGGAGGGGAGGTTTCTACTAAATAGACTTGAAGGAATTTTCCTATCAGTGAGTAGTATGTTATTTTTTAAAAGGTATTTTATTTTTGCCAAAAATATGTAGCATCCAGCATAAATAACCACTGACAACTTGTTAGACTCAGAAAAAAATTATATATGCATAATGTTTTGTATTTATTTGTACAGTTATATATATTATATATGCACAATATATAGCCACAAAAATATCTTTAACTCAGGTAATGCTAGCTAATAAAGGCATTCTATATACTTACATAGTATAGATACTGATTTTATAAACTGCAAAGCATTTGGTGTATGTTCATATAACTATAGGAATAACACTTGCTGATATTTTACATTTTGTTTCAAGAAAAGTAATCAAATATTTAGAATAAGTAATAATGCAAAACAAGTAGCTAAATAATTTTATATCAGCCCTCATTAAATCTTGGGTGTTTCTCCCATAACCTTGAGTGGCGCTTATAAACACCCCACAGCAAAGAGAAATACGTGTTATTCTATCTCTCGGCGATGCCTTGGTAACCCACGACAGAAACACAGAACGAAACCTCAGCCTTGATAACTAAATTGCCTCTCTGTTCACCTTGAGAATATTTCTTCTCTGTCCTCTGCTTATCTCACTCTCCCCGAATATGGAAAACGCCAGCTCATTAAAGTCCCGACCATCTATTTAGTTTCATCTATTTGGATGAAAAACCACTTCTACTAGTTAAGTATAGCACAAGCCTGCATAGCAAATAACAATATAATTTCATGTCTAAGTATAAACAGTTGTTCAGGAAACAAACAGGAGAAGGATACATTTTGTTTTCTGTACCAGAACTCTGAGCTCTACACATATACAGTTTGTACCTGTGCATGCCTCATGCCCTCCGTAGTCTCTGCTAGCTTTTGCTCATGCGTTTTTTTTTATCTGTAATTTTTTGCCACAAATGTTGCCAGTGCACCTGTGCCATAACATTAGGTGTGGAGTTTTTGTCCTCAGAATTGTAAATACAAAAAATATTAAGAGAATAGGCATTGTGTCTCAGCAATCACATCATTTGATCTGTGAACCTTGGTTAAAACCCATCTGAATAACCTTCATTTAACATACCCGTGGTTAATGGCTTCTGCTTTAATTTATTCTTCACATATTTGATGCAAGAAGTTATATCTTTAAAAAAACAAATCTATTTAATGACTAAAACCACGTACATGCAATTGCTAATCAAATCTCTCTTCAACAGCAAAGCATTTTTCAAATCCAGTGAAATTTCCTAATCGACTGCCTAGTGCAGGCGCCCACACACAGAGCCCGAGCGGTGCCAGCTCTTATAGCTACGGTCAATGTAGTGAAGACACCCACATAGCAGCAGCTGCTGCCATCCTGAACCTTTCCACCCGCTGCAGGGAAGCCACAGACATCCTCTCCAACAAACCACAGAGTCTGCATGCCAAGGTAGGCCAGTCCAAGAACCCGGAGGGTGGGCCAGCGACTGAACCGTGAGAATAAACTGCCTTTCATGTTCCTAACCACATCCACCATGACTGTACGCCCCCACCCTAAAGCCACCCCAGTCCTTAGGAAGAGGAGCGCAGGCGGGGATGCGCCTGAGGATTCAGAGGGGGAACCGTGCATTTTGGTCAGTGGCTCTTCTGGAAAGAAGTACACCGAAGTTGGAGGAAAAGTGAGCCCCGGAGGCTAGTTGGGAGAATTCACAGGTTTCCAAGCTATTTTTTGGTTGGCATACAAGAAAAGAAAATTGCTGTTAAAATAAATCTCAACCACGGATACTTTTTGCCTTCTGCAAACCAGAGATGATAAGAAATATTTGATTAGATGGGTCTGGTAAAACATTTGCAAAACTGACCGATGAAATTTTATTATTGTACGCCCGACTGTTCTTTAACCCAAGATGGTCTAGGTTGCAGAGTATTCTTGGAAGATGTGTTCAAAAACCCAAACGCATTAAATCAACCAATGGTTCAGAGAGGCTGGAGGATTTAAGAGTGCTCAAATCCCAAACCAAATTTTGTGCCTGTTATAAAAAACACTACATTTCTGAACTGCATAAAATTAATCACATTATTCCAATAGCGTCTCCTTTCCAACTATGAGAAGTCCGTGTCTGTGATTGATGAACACACACAAAGACCTCCATGCCTTGCCTTTAGCAGTGAAGGGCTTGTCATGTTAGCGCTCTTTTCTCATCCAGAGGAGGCTGTAGAGCTTGGTCGTTTCCTCAGGCAGGAGCCAGTGACTCCTATTTACACAAAGGGCTTCACTTAAATATCGCCCTTCTTCTATGGCTGAAGCCAGCTGAGATAAAGTGCCCAGACGTATTTGATAAGAGATTTTACCTTTGCATTACCTGGGAGACTCCCTGAGCTAAACTTGAACTCTGAAACCCAGGTGATTAAAGCCCTGCTCTTTTTTCCTCTTTAGCACAGCCTGTCCCCTGGGTGGTCAGCTGCCCGCCTGTACCTTGCCAGGCCTTCAGGAGAGCAGGTACGCTGTGCCACCGAGCATTTGACAGAAGAATCAGAATTAGCTTCTGGACAAAGCTGAGCCAAAAGAACCCTAGGAAGAGTCGGTGGCCAAAAACCTCTCAAAAACAGTTTTAAACAAATGAGGCTCTTAAACAAAGAGAAACATATCTTCTGAAAATGTAAAGAAAATGCCACAGTATGTGAATTCCAAGGAATCGTAATTGTAAACTGTGGACGTAGGTGAATGAGTTGGGGAATTGTAAAATGTCACTCTATTCTTAAATTCATATTTTAAATCTGAGTGAATTCGTCCTCTCATAAGGGAGTATTCTACTAGCTATCTAGCTGTAGAAATAGTAAGATATCTTCCTGCCTAGTTCTTTATTATTTGACGGTTTAGGCTGCCTGGTGAGAACAAGAGTACTGATGGTATAGTTAGTAACGTTAAATTACTCAAGTAACGGTGCTAAGATAAATGCTTGCAGTCTTACGTGGACGTTTTTCTGTCCTCTTCTGCTCACCTTAACATTCTCCATGTCCCATTAAATTGCCAAGCAATGCAACGAAGCTGACTAAAATTTTCTCCGTATCATTTTAAAATGATACACTTGGTCATAAAAGTAACTTTAATCAGCATATTTCAAAAGCACAAGTAATTGATTTCTAGTGTATATGCCCCGCTCCTGGTACCGAGCTGGCTGTGTGTGGCAGCCCTGCTTGCCCAGGGTGCGGGGAGCCCCTTGCAGGTGCCAGCCTCCTACAGAAACCAGACCGTCCAGGAGTGACGAGGCTTGAGGGGACAGAGAGCCCAGGGCAGCCTTTTAAAAGGAACTGATTATGCCAGGAGTTTTCAAAGCCACTTTCCTATGAAAATTACCTCCTATGACACGGAGAAAATTTGGTCGTTAGAATAAATATGGTGTCTATACTGTCTCTGTACGGAATCCTTCCCGGTGTTCTCAGACATGAATGCACCCCCACACACAGCTGTAACAGGATGTAGGATTCCATCCTGGTTGCATCCTATTTTCTAGATATGGAAGAATCTCACAAATCTCTGAAACAAACAAATGAAACTACATTTGTTTAATCAAAGGTGAGATAAGCCAAGGTAATTCACCCTGAAAATCAGCCTCTGAGCAAACGGTGCCTCTTGTGGGCCTTTGGGGCTGTCCATGTTGCCCCTCGCATCTTGTCCTTGATGTAGGCGTGAGTGTACATCATCTTTTCCTCTACAGGTAGATGCTGGCCTGAGTCTCTTTCTACTGAATTAGAGGTTTCCCCCATGCTGGATTATTAGCTTGTTTACCTCTGATAAACCCAGGTCTGCAGATCTCTTGAGTTTCTTCTTCAGGAATAAGAGTGTAGGAATGCATGATTTTACTTTGCACTCTGCCTCTATAGCTGAGCATCTCTCTCCCTCTCCCTCTCTGCGTTTTTCTCCCTCTCCCTCTTTCTCTGTCTTTAATTTGGCACCCATAGAAGACTGAGCTACATCTCCAGTCCTCTTTGAGACACAGTCTCACTTAAACTGCCCAGGCAGGCCCCAAACTTGGGGTCATTCTGCCTCAGCCTTGCTGGTAGCTAGGCTTACAAGCACACACCCAGCCAGAGCACTCCTCATGTGTTAGAAAGACAACCTGGCAGATGGATTCACAGTAGTTCCAACTGGAGCTCTCTAAGTGCTGGTCTGCCCTAGTCACAGGGTAGATTCACTCACAGACTGTGCCTTCAAGGACCTTAAGGACACACAAGATGAAAGCAGTGGTCCTCTAGGAGCTGTGCCTGGCTTATTTCAGGTGTAGGGCTGGGTGGGGAGAAGTGAGGTGAGCTACGTGCAAGGCAGGACAGACCTCAAAGTGAGTTACGTCAGAACTTGGGTGATGACACATTTCTCACTTACCCTTTGGTCTCATCCAGTCTTTTGCTTAGAGCATCCAAGATAAGAATGAATTAAAGATCATACTGAGCCATGTGTGGGAACAATGCCTGTAGTACTACCTACTCAGAAGCTGAGGCAGGAAAATTGAGTTCAAGGCCAAGCCTGGGCAACTTAGCAAAACCATCTCAAAATAAAATAATAATTATTATTATTATCCTACTGTCACATCATTTGCAACATCCAGTCAAAGCCTGCTACACCCAGAATTGACTTCATGGTACCTGTGGGGGTTGGAAACAGACTCTCGTCATGCTATCTGCGGCACACAATTGGCTCCGAGTGTCATGGGAGAGTTAAATTAGTCCTCTTTGCAAGATCATGGCTCTAATGACCATGGGAGCAGAGGTTGTTTTCAGAGGAACAAGAAAATTTTGGAGTTCCCACACAATCTAAAATTAGTGAAGGGCAACATGGGTCGTCTGTGTTTTCTTCTCTTAAATTTCTTAGCCCTGTGCACTGGGACGCTTTGGCCCTCTCGTCCTCCCCAGCACCAAAGGCTCACACAGGGTTGCACGCTGTCACCCATTCACACAGTCAGGACCCACCAGGCTCTGGTCCCCCATGTGCCCAGTGTGAGGGACGTCAGCACCCAGACCAGAGCCCTTCACACCCCAAAAGTACAAGACTTGAAGACAAATTATTTTTTTAAATACCACCTGGCCTGGGCATGACACACTGGCTTGCTTGGTTTTAAGTATCTCTTTAAGAAACCCAGTCAGGAAAACACGATTAATAGATGTTATAAGGATCAGAGGTGATGTCAACTGCAGTATAAGCTCTTCTTGGAACCCAGTTCCTCTGTCGGTTCTAAGACGTACGTGCTATCTACCATTTTACATGAGAATTAGTGTGGGTTATGGAACATAAATGTGCCACAGATGTGAAAGCCTCCCTCTCCATCAGGCCACTGTGACTTGGGACAGGAGCACAGCCACGAGCAGAGAGTGACTTCCTAGGTTCCCTGAGGGTGTTGCCCCAGCACCCCTGGGCAGCCCGGGCCGGCCTGAGTCAGACATGCCCCCATTTTCCTTCCTCCCTCCCACCCGATGACAGAGGTAGGCACTCGCTTCACAGTCTATCTTTATCCTCACCGCTGCTGCTTGCCAAGCGTTCTGTTGTTTGTTTTGGTGTTTTCCCCACCTGTTTAGACAAAATGACATATGCACAGTGTGCCTTAAAAGAAAACAAAAAATTGACACTTGCTTGAAATGTTTAAAGTTCAAAGTCTGTTTTGTGCTTGAACAAGGCCTGGAAACAACGCGACGTCACCGCACCATTCGTGCCGCCTGTTATCAGCAACGGCCCGGTGGCCATGGGGATGGTCAGAAGCCCCAAGCAGTTTTTTCCATGACCTTGACATTAGGACAGATTGTACCATATATTTTAGTGAGATGTGAGTCCGGGGTTACCGACTGCATAGCGTGGAGATGCTAGATACTTCATAACTGGCTCTTTAACCTTGTGTGCAGTGGTCCTGGGCATGCCTCTTTTGGTGTTCAAATATTCAGTCAGATTGTTATTAGTATTACCTAACATTTGCTGAGCACCTACTATGTGCCAGGTACTATACATAAGCACTTTGTCTGTGTAAATCATTTTTAATCCTTCTAGAAACTCTGTAAAGTATACAATGTTCTCCCATTCTGCAGAGGAAGAAAGGGTAGTAGAGAGATGATGAGTGATTTTCTCTGAGTGGTGCTGCTATAGCTGAAATCTGGATTCATATCACTCTTCTTTCCTTATGACCTTACTGCCTATAGACCATCAGCCCAGACCATGACCTCACATCCAAAGATTTCAGGAGGTGTTTATAAATTTCATTTAAATTTGACATCTTATGTTAGTCAATTCTTTTCATTCCATCATTCCATTTTGTGCAGTAATATTTTTCACTTTTATTATCTTAATAGTCTTAATGCTCAATTACCATCGAGAGGCAAATATGTTCATTTCATTGATTTATTAGTATCTTACCTACTTTGAAAACGCATTCTGGATAGCTGTCAGTACAGAAAAGGCTCCCCCTCCCCAAACAAAACCCGGAAGTGAGCTGCAGGGAAGATTCAGGAACCGTACAGGAACCCAGGTGGAAGGAGCAGGGCTTGTGCTATGTCCTAGCCAACTCAGAAGGAGATATGTGCCCTATCCCGGCTGAGGGAAGGCTTGCCAAGGAAGCAAGACAGTGCTGTTGTATTTCATCAATGTTGTGAAAATTAGTACCTTTCATAATCAGAATGCTTAAGGTAAAATAATCTTTTTTTTTTTTTTTGAACTGGGATCAAACTTAGGACCTCGTGCTTGCCAGGCAGGCGCTGTGCCACTGAGCTGTCTCCTCGGCCCCAATGATCTTGTTTTCATACCATCACCATCTTTGAATTTATGATTTCTAATTGTTCAAACAAAATAATATTATCATCTGTCTGGAAAGTAATGGAGAAAAGCACCCATGAGCTTATTCTCTAGATACAATAATTTATACACTATATCTTTTCTTTCTTGTAAGGGTAGCGGAAATGCCAGGCTATTATTTCCTATTTTCAGTCCTATAAGGATTTCTCCATATTGCTTCATAGGCAGTATTCAGAATTATCACTTTACTGTCCACCTCGTGTGCTGTTTAATAATGTTCCACCATTTTATTAATTCATAATTTCATTTCTCCATTGTTGGACATTTAGGTAACTGCTTATTTTACAATACAGATAAAATCACAGGCAAGAGCTCTTTCAACTTGGAATTTAATAATAATTTATAACACATTTATTAAATTGCTTTTCACTAAAAATCTGCATGCAGAAAATAAGCTCCTTGATGGCAGGAACAACCGACTTTTCAGTTCCTCTCTTCTCCAAAATATAGTGTCATGGACATACGAAGCGCTTTCTCAATAATTTAATGAGTGTGTGAGTGGAAGAGAGCATCTGTAACTCGAAAGTGCCTGAAATAAGTGGCAGCTGACCTCCCTCCTAAGTCGGAAAGAGCACGAATGGTGCTAGATTTATGTACCTAGTCTCAGAAAACCTTCAAATTTAAACGTGATTATTTAAAGTAAGGATCCCAAACCACACTTGGAGAGGTCAGAATATTAGAGGAGTTGGAGGATGGGGACCATGTATGTGGGCCGCAGCTCCCGCCCCTCCCCTCCACCCACCTCTCCCACCTCTGTTGTGCTGTCTGTGGAGCTGCAAGCACAGAGACGTGATGCCTACTGCTATAGCTCTGAAAAAAACCCGTGCTATAAATGTGCGATCCCCATCTATGGGCAGAAAGAGACCCTCCTCGGTTACTGTGTATAATTGCCGAAGGCATCTGTGGCTTACTTAAAGTCCATCTGTACCCCATTCCCCAGTGCGCAGCCCGCTTCCTCCCAGTGAAATCAGGTGCTCAGAGCAACTGGCTGGGCACAGGGTGTAGAAAAGCGCCTCTTTTAAACGTTAGGAGTGATTTTTTTTTTTTTTTTCAATCAAGCTCTGATTACTCAAGCTGCACAATCATAACAATTCCTAGAGTCTCATTTTTTTAAATTTACAATTTAGAATTCTTTTCCTGTAAAAACTAGAATATATGTGTTGTCTTGGAATAGTTGGTATTTTTCAGAGATCGAATCTGCACTATTTATGGGTTTTGCACTATAAAACTCTGCAGCCCAGTCACATGGCTTCTTTTTCCTAAGCCATCTGTCACAGAGGTCTGGAATTTTATGTGAACGTTGGTTGTGCAATCTTAACCCAAGTTTTTAAAAAAATTTTTTATGAAAAATGTCAGCAACTACAATATTTAGCATTTTACTTTACGTTGGCCATTAAACTTGATTACTATAGCTCTGTTTCATGGCGACAGTTACAGATCAGCTATAAAGCCAAGAATTGTTTTGATGTGCTCCTGGCAGAATATATTGTGAGATCACGGAGGGAGATACCATGTGGCACTGATATGGTTAATATCTTGGATTTTTGTAACTAAGGTTTATTAATGCTGGTATAAAAACGTATTTGATATTATACAGATGGCATAAGATGTTGTGGTTACTACGTTATTATCCCGGATAAGCTGTACTGTCAAATTCGGGGCTTAAAACTATCGCAGGAGATTAAACTATTTACGAAAAGGGGACAGAAAGATACAGCCAAAGCATCTTAGTACAACATATTAGAAGTGTATTTACTTCCCAGTGAATATAATGCGGTGTATCTGGCTGGTAGACTGAGAGCTGGAAAACATGAACTTTGCAGGTAGAACAAGCAGACGGAAGAGGGGCTTTATTTTTTTCGGTCAGGCACACAAGGGCGACGTGAGCAGCCCAGTGGCTGCTGTAGGGGAGGGGGAGGGGTAAAAGTAAACCCTCTGGGAAGTGACGGTGACCACAGAGCTTAGGCATCTTGCTAACATACTCAAAGGAGACATCTGCTTTGCCAGCAAGAAGGAAAAAAGAATAAAGCAATTGTCAAGAAGCTAACTGTGGACGGACGGATGGTGGTAAAAATACCGGAAAGGTGTTATTTGACCTATTTGGAACAATGGCTGGCGTGTTCTCCCAGTGTTTGGGACTTACTGCACGGTACTAATCGCAGTTCATGACTCTCTCCCGGCCGTCCCATGGTGCGGATCTTGAAGAAGATCCAGAACTTATGCACAGCTTATTGGCATGAGAACCAAATATGAAATGACGACAGTTCCTTAAAAAAATAAAAATAATAAGCTTAGCAAAAGCAACTGCCAGGAGGAAAACTGGGAGATAGCTTTAGTTTGAAGTCCCATTGAAAGTCTCTGGAAAATAAATACCTTGATTCTGAAGTTTCATGATAGAATTTAAGCCCGAACACTTACACTGTCAGTGAACTATAGACTACTCCGTTTGTCTCTCCCTCTCCGCCCTCTACAATCTAACAAAGCTTTTCCAGTTCCAACAACCTAGGGTGAAATGTTGCTTCGGTATTAATCTAATATTCCAATAAAAATTCTCTTCCAGCTGGTTATGTTTGCATATTTCTCATGTTAGATTAATATTGTGATTTGGGGTGAGGGGGGAGTTATATGTGCCTTTTGATAAACACAAATGTTAATGCTTTAAGTGCTGAATTTGGAGGAATAATTCTATAATGTAGAAAAGAAGATTTAAAGCTGCACTTTTAAAACATACACATATATAAAACAATCTCAGCCAGTACACTCAGTGTTTTGAACACCTTATCTGTATTAAGCTTACTTTATTTAAACCCAGAAACACGAAGCTCACTAATGGGGCTGTTCTTAAAAGTCTGCCTAAGAATTGAACGTTACAAAAAGCAAATCACAAAGCTAGATTTAAAAGCAGATATACTTCCATCAAAGCTTACATTTAAAATTATCCCTTGAAAGCCCCACATGGCTAGGCTATAACTGCAAACTGCTTAAATGTTTTTCTGTTTCCTGTTGTATACCAGGGGGCCGAGATAGCAGTGGATGAAAATGGCACGTTGGACTTAAGCATGAAAAAAAATCGAATGCAGGACAAGGCTGCGCCCCTCACTTGCTCTAGCACTACCATTCCCACGCCTTCCTCCTCCCCCTTCAAAACCAGCAGTATTCTGGTCAACGCCGCGTTCTATCAGGCTCTCTGTGACCAGGAAGGCTGGGAGACTCCGATCAACTATAGCAAGACTCACGCCAAGCCAGAGGAGGACAAAGAGGTATTGTTCCAATGTGTCAATCGATAAGCTGAAGATGAGTATGACTGCAGAGTATTACTAGCTTTTCTTCCCTCCTAAATCATATTCTGCATTCCCATTTTCATAATACACAGCCCTAGTCCTTGGTTTAGGCTTTTTGATAAAGCTATCATTTTAGCTTTCAGATGAAATTTGCAAATGAACTCAACTTTTCCTGCCATTTGCCTAAAATGCCACTGTAGTAAATTTTATTCTCATGGTGGTATCACTTGTCTGCACTACAGGAAAGAGTCTCTCTTCTTTTGCAGTCTGTAGGGAGAAGTGCGTTGCTCAACATGGAAATGCCAGCCCACTAGTCCTTTCTGAACCAGCAGGGCAAAGGTGAAATGTAACTGAGAACAAGTCAGAATGTTGAAATTATGTCAAAGTCACTTTCTGTTGTGAAGGAGCTGCATTGGCATAGCTCCGGAAAGGGTCATTTTTGAGACACCGGACCTTGAACATTAGATGTCTTAGTTGTATCAACCCAGAAGTCAGGGAACATACTTGTGTGTTTGATCATCTCAAAGATGATTTCACCCCGGAAACCAGAACTTGTGATAGAGTCGGCGCCCAGCTAGTCTCCTTCTCTGCAGTCGGACCCCCCTGCCTTGGTCTGATTGGCCACGGCCATTTAGTGTCACTGAGAAGACGTGGCAGCCTGAGCCCCCTTGCTTAGTGTTTACCTGATTGGGGATGTGACCCTCGGGGCTAGAGTGAATGACCCTATTTTACTGTCTGTCAGAAAAGTCACTGATGGACTTGCCCGTCGATATGCTTAAAGGACCGAATTATCCATTCTTTGTAGAATGCACCATCTCTTTCAGCTTTTTGAATTTCACAGACTTGGTGGGGATCTAGTTTGAGTTTGGCTTTTATCACTTAGCATGTGAGTTGACATACACAGTCATGATCACGTGATCGGGTTGTTGTCACATGCTTCCTCCACTCCTTCCTCCTTTTGCTCCTTCCTACCACTCACATTCACTGGCATTTCCAAGTCCAGGCATGAGCTAGGTCCTGGAGATTCAGTATCAAATAGGACATGCCTTGCCATGTACGTGCATCTCACCCACACGTGTGCCAAATACACAAATAAACAGAGTGGCACAAAGGGGGGCCAGAAAAGAGGGGGTGGGGTGTCAGAGACAGGCACCAGAGTAAACCAGCACCCCAGGATCTGAAGCACCTCTTGTGACCCCCATCCATGCCATCCTGTGGAAAGCTGGAAAGAATCACAAAACAGCAGTGTTTGATTAGACTCTGTCCTGCTGGTTTTAGTCTTTTCAGGTTTTTAAAATACATCTAAAATATCTCCGAGTGGTGTTCAGTAGTTCATTAATTAATAGCTCTCTTTTTCTGAAAGTTTTGAGACTAGACTTGGTTTAGTCTTGGGAGTTTTTCAGATTTTGAACTATTTATATAAACTCTGCTAGTGAAGCACCCCTAACCCCAAATTCTGTGATGCAGAATCCAAAAATTTTCAAGTGTGCTGTTGGCATTTTGGAACTTGGATTTTCAGATTAAAGAGGCTCAGACTGTGTTTTAAAATTGTCTCCTATTAAAATGATACAGTACATGTTTGATGATGATACATGCAACACTGACGTGCAAAGTACGAGAGTCTCATTCACCTAAGTGCTGACGATGAGCCGGCAGGGTGATCTCTCATCAGCACCACAGTGACCCGCTGCCGTCTCAAGCTTGTGGGAAAGAACCAAAGTCATACCTGACTTCCCTCTGTCTCAGGATTTGTCAGTATCCACATTACTTGGTCATTCTGCACAACTTCTCAGAAACGGAAGGAAGGAGCAAGTTAGGACAGGTTGGCCTTAGTGAAGATAATGGTCCTCCAGTTCACAAGACTTTTGAGTCTCTAGCCAGTTGGTTGCCAGTTAAATCCCAGCAACTGACTCCCATTCCCCTAAAGGAAACCGACCCCTGGGCATGAGATCTGTAGGCGTGGGTGGACAAGTCAGTGTGTTGTACAGAGGACAGTGCTTACAGAGCAGCTGCAACTGCATCTCTGCCCTTGCATGAATCACACAGAGTCAAAATCCTAATGTATGCTGGCTCCTGAGAGCATCCTGGTGTCATGTGCAGAGTGGCATCGGCTGTCTGTCTTCATCTGTGTTGGAAACGGACATTATCAGCTCATTCCCCAGAGATCTTCCTACGGTATTTGTCCTCAGTGTAAGACAGACAGAGGCAACCTTGAGTAATGATAAAGCAAACTTACATCAGGTGGGTCTTCCACGTTAGGTAGAGCATCGTACATTGTTTGGCATTCATTTTACTTTTGTATCCTCATCCACAATGCCAGCGTTGTGCCTTTATATTCTGAGAGCCCCTCTTTGGCTATCCTTACCACCCCAGGGGACAGAAAATGAATTTCATAACAACTACTTTATCTTTACTTTCCAATCTCATTCCTTACCTCTGTATTCATCTTGGCAGCTTTATAGTTTCTTTTTTTTTTATTTTAAAGAGAAAAAAATCTAACAAAGCAACAACAATGAAGACAAAAACAAAAACAACAGAAATGATACATGACCTCAAGCCAAATGATAGGAATTAACAATGGTTGCTGCATTACATATTGTTATCTTCAACTAAGTTGCTCAGTCCACCAGGTTGCTCAAACAATCAAAGACAGTAACAAGTAATAAAAAAAAATTGGAAATAATGCAGAAGTTCACCATACAAGATGATAGGGATTCAACAATGGTTCTTATACTGCAATTTGTTGTCTTCAGATCAGTCATTCTGGTTACCCAATACAGGCATGCAAAATTGGTCAAGAAAAAAGAACATTTTAAGCATTAACTGTTCTTTTCAATAAATCACGGACATCAGCAATGCACCTATCCCAGGCATCCTTGTATATACATGTAAATTTTGCTACAGTTTCAACTTGAGTGTGTTTTTACCTAATGCATATGGATTTTTGACAGTGTTTCATTTTCTTGCAAATTCATAAAAAAATGAGGAGAGGTTTTCTTTAGACTAGATTTTTTTCAAAATGGCTTACATTGCATCAGTTATGATAGGATGGCTTTTCATGGCTGCAGTTTCCATTTGAGTATTTTGAAGTGTGGAATGCAGAAGCTGTGTGGGAATCCCGCGCCACTGCCAGTGACAAGGAAGAACTGGAGATGCACATGTGCTTGTCCTAGTTTGAGGTGGCAATGTTGTTCCAAGCTAGATGCTTATTGTCAGAGCTAAGGGCACAGGGTCAGTCACTGCTTGGGGAAGCTGAAGTTGACAGGTATAGATACAAAAGGACTTCTGAGTCATTCTACCTACCTTGCTCAGCTTCTGTGCTTTGTTCCCTCATCTGTACCTAGGTAATTTGCTAGCAGTATTTTCTACAAACAGAGAGTATTTTCCACATCCTGTTCTAAGTCTTGACAATAACAAATATGAGACTTGTAAGATATTATTTGGGAAAGGAAGATTTCATTCAGTGTTGTCATTGAGAAGGTATAAGGGTACAGTAGGAATAAAGGCAGGAATCTTTGTATAGTGTCTCATTCTCTCAACAATTCTGCAAAGCAGAATTACTGTCACATCTTTTAGAGAAGAAAATTGACACTTAAGGAGGTAGCATTTTTGATCCTTAACTGTAGAGAGATTAATAGGCCAGTAAATCCTGAAAATAAAGAAAAAGGAAGTTTGGGAACATGAAGAATGAAAAGAAAAAACCACCACGAGGCAGAGACAGTTTAGGGAATATTCAGAAAAAATGGGAAGAAGAAAAAGAATGAAGAGGTGGTGCGTGGCAAGGTGTGGTGGAAGCTGCTGAGGATAGAGGAGCAAAGCCCTCAGACTCGGGCAGGTCTCCGTGACATGACCACAGAAATCAGGCATGGCACCGGCTCATTCTTCTCAATTTTCAGGAAGCTGTGTGACCCCAGCAAGGCCTCACACCCATCTGAGACCGGGGGTGCTGTGTTCCTGCCCTTACCCTCTTCTTCTCTGCCATCTCCTTCCCGGAGCCCCACCACACCAGACACCCACACAACCAGAAATTGAGTGATTATTTCTAATTCATTGTTATCTAGTTCATATGCACAACAGTTGCTTAATTTTGGTGGTAATTTTCAGAAAATATTGTCTGTCTCTCTCGGTGAAATAGCCTGTCCAGATGCCCCCTAAAAAAAAAAATCATGAATCTGGAAAAAACTCAAAATAACTTGAAGGGAAAGTACCGAGAAATAACTAGGGCTGTCAGTTTCATTCAACTGTCAGTCCTCCAAAGATTTCAGGGCTTAAAATGTTAAAAGTGCCAGATGCTATTATCTGTTATTCATGTTACCATTATGTTCTGTCTTTACGGAAATCAGTATAAACTTCCATCTGTACATTAAAGAATTCCATGGGGTGTGTACGCTCCCAAACACACATGTATGCTATGTTCCCTTTTACATATTATGCATGGGATAAAATTATTATTTTCAAAATGAGACTTTAATATTAGAACAAAGATTCCTGTGAATGCAATTGATTCATTCTACACTGGGTGTTGTTTAGGAATTCATCCAATATCAAATGCTTCTGTACAGAATTAATCTAAGAACTCTTTTAGCGATGGCCATCTCAGTTTTAATATGTGTATGTTCTGTAAGCTTCCAGGAGTAGAATGTTAAGCAAAGAAATGGGGAAAGGGCAATTGCATGCATAAGAGTTTATAGTTTTTTTAAATTATGAAATATTTAAAAAGTCATGGGCAACAAAATTATCCTCTTGGAATATTGCCACATATTATTATACAGAATTAAGTAACATATCTTGCTAGCATAATTTTATATGCATTTTAACACAATAAAAATTTAAAGTTTTAAAATTCATCATTTGTTTCAAAGTTCTCACATTCTTCTGCCTGCCATAATGCATAGATTCAACCCGTAAGCAATAGCTGCTGCCTTTTATGTGGCACTCCATATATATATGCCTTTTTAGAGACTATGTTCTTTATAAGAAAGAAAATGATGAAATTACTCTTTCTATTTCATGCCATTTTGTGAAAAAGTCAGCATCTAAACAGAAAAACAAAGGGTGTTAAATATATTGGATTTAGCTTTTGCATCTACTTTGAAAAACCCAAGACAGTTTGGAATTAGAATGGAAATTACTCCCCAAGCCAAATCCAGATTGTCCCAAATAGAGTGGATAGCGGAACAATCGGGCTTAAAGGCTTTAAAATTAGGAAATATTTTACTTTAGCCTTTTACCCTATAAAACTTTAAAATGATAAGCTTGAATCACCCATCTTGCTGTAGATTCCATGGAGATGACATTATAGTAACACCTCAATTTGCATGCTGGTAGGTACCTAGTATAAAGCACAGTTTTCTCTTGACTTTTTTTTCCAGTGGGGATTGAACTCAGGGCCTGTGGAATGAGCTACATGTGCTACCTGTTTTACTTTCTTTTTTTGAGACACAGACAGGGTCTCACTAAGCAACCAAATTGCTCGGGCAGGGCTTAAACTTTCAATCCTCTCTGCTTAGCTTCTGTGAGTGCTTCTTTCTGCTTTCAAATGGAATGTGTAGCAATATAAACAAAAGAAACTGCACTAAACCAGGTTATGTTAGTCTGATCTGAAAATAATCTCACTTTCAATGGTTTATCAATATATTTACTTCAACATACTTGTGTATAAAATAATTGACGTTTTACCTAAGTAATGAGTGAAAGAAATTATACTTGTCTTGATGATGAGATCAATGTTTGGAATTTTCCTTTGGTTGGGAAAATCCAGCGATTTTTTTTTCCTGTTATTTTTGTATATAGAATCAGCATTTTATATCCATGTGATTTAAGGAAAATTTACTTTAAACAGTTCAAAATCATGAACTGACCTTAAATAGATCAGTATTGTCAAGTTTTAAAATGTAATTTTCCGTATTAGTTAATCTGATTTTAACATTACATCTACAAAGTATTCTATTTACTAGATATAGCCTTAATAATGAAAACAAACTAATTATCCAATTCAGGAAAATCATCATGAGTTTTATGTGGGAGAACACTTGGCAAATAAATGATTTGGAAAGATTAATGAGTCTTCCTTATAGGGTCAAAAATCAGCATTTAAGCTTAAAAGGCCGTGAACATGGGTGCTGTCCAACAAGGAACTCTACCCAGCAAATGGAAACATTACAAGATACCAACTTAGCAAAAAAGAAAAGCAGGAAGTGATGTAAAAACAACAATTATCCAGAAAAATGAAATTAAATGCCTACATACTGTAGCCTCAACTTTTACATATTTAAATAAATAATTTAGATCATGATTGCTTGTTTATTGAAGTAGGCATTTTCTTAAGCTGAACTTCTTCTTTTATTTAAAAAACTGTATGGCTTTTTCTTTTTTCTTTTTTGCATTTTACTGCTATTGACTGCTGGATATGTAAAGAACTATTCCTGTGTTCTCTGGGAAGTGTTCATTATATAGGACAATTTAAAATGTACTAATATATTAACTTAATTACATAGTTCAAGGAATTCCTCTATAGTTATATTTGCTAAGATATGAACTTTTCAAAGGTGTTTCTATCAATTACAATTTCTCATTTTTCTCTGAGGATACAGGTCCATAACAACTAGGACACACACTCTTTTGCTCATGATCTTATTTATTTCTTTTGCAATATTTCAGCTAAACCTTCAAGTAAACGCAGATCTGATTTTTATGACTTCAAATTCAGTTATCTTTCCAGGGTTCCCTAATCATACTCTCTTGTTCTCTCTCTCTCTCTCTCTCTCTCTCTCTGTCTCTGTCTCTCTCTGTGTCTCTGTCTCTCTCTCTCTCTCTCTCTGTCTCTCTCTGTCTCTCTGTCTCTGTCTCTCTGTCTCTCTCTGTCTCTCTCTTTTCCTCTTACTCTCATTTTTTTTCCAGAAAGACATAGTAAACTCTCTAGAAAACTTGGAAGAGAAAAAGTTTCCTGGAGAAGCCTCTATACCAAGCCCCAAACCCAAGCTCCATGCAAGAGATCTCAAAAAAGAGCTAATCACGTAAGTGGTACCCAAAGTATTATGCTGTGTCCTGAGGTATTATGGAATTGAGACCTGAAGTTTATAGTTTTGCATAATAGTACTTTGGTTTACAGTTGGCTTTAGGATGGTTTTAAAGGAATTTCAACCAGCCAGCAGTTAAATGTTCAACACGTACCTGAATCATGCACTGAACTGAGTGGGTATAAAAAAAGGGTATAGGATATGGTCTTATGCTAAGAGAGCTGAGACCATCTGTTGATTAAAAAGGAAATAAGATGGAACAATTAGAAAGGTATATGTTTTGGGCAAAGTTCTGAGCTTGAGATCCATTCATGCTAGAGGACCTAAGGCTTGGCTTCAAGGGGACTGGGATGTTGTCAGTAACACTCTATGCAACTTGTCACTTGACTTAGGGAGTAAATCACTTTCATTACATCTTCAGAGGGAGACTTTGACCCGGAAGAATTAAAAACCCATTACTTTCATTCAATCATTACATGGTGCATACATCAAAGCATCATCTTACATCCCTTAAAATAGACACAATTATTGTGTTTCAATTAAAACTAAAAATAAAATAAACACAGACTGGGCCACCCAAGGGAAGAGAGTGAATGAATGAATGAAATGCACAGAACTATTTTCCATTTGTAAATGTTTAAATATTAACCAAGCATACCCAAACACAGATACATGTATAGCTGACAATTACTGAGAGTCTCCAGCAAACAATCACTTTTCCACTTAGGCACCAGTGCTTATACCTCTGCTCTGTATCCCTGTATTTAAAAATTTCCACTAATGATAGATTTAAAAACTCTCATGCCCCAAGAGACTCTCCACCTGGATTCCATTTCTGCTTCCACTTCTAGACAAACTCTGAAGAAAGTTGTCAACAGTGTGTGACTCAGCTTCCCTTCTGAGTCCTTGTCCAACAGAATTTCACTGTCACCCGTCCACCCAAACAACCTCTCTAGTTAAACCCTCCCGGGACCCCTCCCCTATGCTGGCCATTGGTCCTGGATTGTCCTGCTCCCTGGTAATGGGACAGTGGGATTCCTCCAAGCTGCCCTCGCCTTCCTCTATGGCCTGTTATCTATCTTCACCTCTGGCTTCTAGGATTCTTCATCTGGGGGATCTTCCTCTCACTCGCTGCGGTCCCTTCCCACACTCAGGCACAGTCCAAAGTCTGAGACGTCTCAGACCTCAGTCTTGGGACCTCACCTCTCTTCCACCCACACTCTCTGCGATCTACATCTTCACTGTGACCTCCGATGCCCACCCACCTGCCCATGGCAGGCGGCGTGAACTCTCCCTCTCCCTCAGGCCCTGCCCCTGCTCCCCTCTCCTCTGCCCCTGACACACCTCCAGCTCACCAAAAGCACACCTTCCCAGAGCCTGGGAGATACTGCCTCTCTGCCAGGAGTTGCCCCTCAGGGGCTCACCTCCTCCCCTCTGCTCTCCTCTCAAATGTCCCTTACCTGTGAGACCTTCTGGCTACTGAGTTCCTCGTCCCAGCCCTGACACTCCTCCCTCTTTCCAGACCCCTTCCTCAGCAGCATTTAGCACCCTCTAATGCCCGTGCAGCACCCAGCTGCCCGCACCCCTGCTCTCTGTAGTCTGTCTCCCTCGCTGCGGAGGCTCCAGATGCTCTTCTGCCCTCACGTTCCATTCCCCACCTCATCCACGGCACTGCTGCTTATTATGCGCTGTCTGCTGCTTGTTTCCTCACCCACCTGCACAGAGCCTGGGCTAGAGAACGCACCTCAAAGGCCAGGGCCAAGTACAGGGCCCCATAAACGGCAAGCTTTCAGCAGAATTATTCCTAGTGCAGCATCAATGTGTCATATCAGCATGCGAGTGGGTTTTAAAATCTTCAACTTCACATTCATACGCAAACACTACTGACTTAAACACCATGCTCCCCTGTGAGTCCATATTCACCTGGGGCTTGGCGGTGGTGCATGACCTATGAACACACGGCAGCTGAAATTTCACCAAACACTGTTTCTTTCCACTTACGTGAGCCACATCCTTATCCCCATACGGACCTGCTATTCCAGCTTGCACAGCTTGGTACAGCTTCTCTTTCCACATGATATTTTTCAATATCTTCAAAAATGGAAAATTTTTATTGTGTAAGAATAGATTATTGGAAATTCCCCATAGTCATTGCAAACTAAATATCCTGTAAAAGACTGATTATTAATATGCAATTCCATTTTGAATGAGAAAAGTGAAGTATGATTTGTAATGGGCACAGCTCATGGGTATTAAGGTAATTAAAAAAGAGAAAAATTCCAAAGAATTTGAACAATTTGGGTGTAATTGTGAATTTTATCAAGCAGAGACCTCATAGGTCACACATATTACAGACTGCATGAGTGTCTTGATGGATATCATTTATTTATATGTACCTATGTTAGCATATTTGTTTTGTAAAAGTCATACTACTTTACATTGTTACTCTGTGCTTATGATTTACTTTATGTTTTAAATAGATAATTATGCTTTGCTTACCAGAAACTGTTTGATAAGAACAACATTTTCTTTTGTCAGCTGTCCTACAATTTGTATAGCGTTTGAGTACCACTAATTGAAGAAATTAGCTAGTTTCCCTCCTACAACTTTGAGATTTTCACCTGCACACCTTACCATAATATACTGTCCAATCTGTATTGACACATATAAATTTTTTACTGTACATTTGGAGTTAAATGTAACTATCAGAATCCTAAACGGAAATTTTTCCTATTATATTACCAATTCTTTGCTTTTTGACTTTTTCTATTAATAAAATTTTAACCAATTTATTTTCAGCTAATGAAATGTGTATTTTCATTATATTTCATAGTAAATTTTATATGATTCCTTTTTACATTATTGTACCTTCTTTGCCTCTTTTGGGAATGTTAATAGGAATAGTTAAAAATAGAAAAGTAAAATAAAGTAAATGCTGCTAGCGAACACTAGGTGGCGATGTAGTATGCCCAAAGTGGGAAATACCAAGCAATTAAAACAAATCTCTTATCTCTAAATATTCCCGTTGTATGATGTGCAGAAAAGATTTTTCTGCATTTAACCTGGCACTAGCAAGGTAACTCAGCTCAAATTTAATCACTACTAATATTGCTTTTATTGTTTTACATAGGTTTTAGCTTCAACACTGTGCTTTGTGACATCCTATCCGGGAAAAGGGACAAAAGGATTAGATGACTCGATTTAGATCGAACCCTGAAAATCAGACATCTCTTTGATATTTTTCCCACTCATAGTTTTTTTAGGTTATCTGAAAATGATTGTACAATAGCTCACAGGAAAGAAAAACTACTCAAAAAGTGACAATTTAGAAAATATTGGAATTTTGTTTATCTACGCCAAATGTCTCTCTGAAAGGTTAAATTCTGTGTTCTCCATCTATAGATAGATACGCCCTCGCTCTCGGAGGGCTGTCAGAGGAAATCAGACGCAGGAATGATGTAACTGACATTCCCTCTGACTCCTTACACTGCTGCAAATAGCGCTGAGTAGGCTGGGGTCAATCTGCTCACTCCAAATGAGTGACTTTCCAACAGCCTCATAGAAAATCAGATGACCGAAAAACCAAAGAATCTACAATTGTGGAAGAAAAACATCTAAGGATAGCTATAATCTTGCACTCTATTTTTTAAAAATGAAAGAAGCCTAGGACATGGCCAGTTTCTGAGACAAAATGAAGCATAGGGCCTGAGATTGTGGTTGGACACCTTTGACGGATGGCCTGCGAGGCTATTCTTGGGCTAATTGTGAATGAGGGGTTGTATTTCTTGGGTTACAAGTGGATTCGTTGGCTGTCCTGCCACTGGAGCACAATACCCAATACCCACAATTTAAAGAAGGGGACATAAACTTTAACTCATGGATTCAGAGGGTTCAGTCCATGGTTCCGTGGCTCCAAGGCAGGAGCATCACGGTGGAAAGCAGAGCAGAGCAGAGATGTTCAGTTCATGAGGGCAGGTGAAGAGTGCCTGGCGGGAAGGGGCAAAGGACTGCATAGCCCCAAATCCACACCTCCATGACCCACCCAGACACACCCAGAAGTGTGCTCTCCTACCCCCTTAGTGGTTCCTCAACCAGTCAAGTTGGTGTCATGAAGCCCAACCACGGAAACATCTTTGGGTGAAACTGCTTAAGAATTTTACTAACTAACCTTCCTGCCTACTTCTGCACTGTCTGCAACTTTCCCACCTAAAATATTAGTTTTCATTTTAGGCAAAGATTTTTCTTCTTTTTCTACTGGTGGTATCTAAAATGTTTATGAAATTAAGATATTTTGTGTATATATATCAACTCCTCATAATGAATATTATTACTACGTACTGCCAACAGGTAATAATAAAAAGTTTTAAATGTTCATTAAGTTATTAGGGTGCTCAAAAACTTAGAAAAATTCCTTTCTTCAATCTATCATAAAATTGGTGCAAGTACTCTGAAGATCTGCTACCATATTAAAGTATGGATTTCTAATGTTTATTTTTTTATAACATTTGTACTTTCAGAGATATAGAACAATGTTGATTACTGACTCACAAAGTATCTAGGGCATACGTGTTACTGTCACTTAAATTATTTGAACCAGAAAATTGGGTAAGGTATTGCAAACAGAGAAGGAAGCAATTCCACATATTATGATTCTTAGTTGATTTAGCTGGTCCACTGGTTCTTCTACGCAACGAATACAAATCTTTAATGTGCCAGCTTCTACATGTTCTGTGCAGTATCAGCTTACCTTAAAGGGAGGATCTGCTTCCTAATCTATGCATCTGCGAAATGCCCTTGACTCTAATGATGTACTTTTCTGTCGATCAGCTGTCCAACTCCAGGATGTGACGGAAGTGGCCACGTCACCGGAAACTACGCATCTCACCGCAGGTACCTGTGGTCAGGGCGGGTCTTCATCATCGCATGGTGTTGGAAAGACTTAGACTCCTTACCCTCACCCCTTCATGGTCAAAAATGGCTGTTAGTCCAAATTACAAAGTTGGAGTTGATTCCCGGCAGTGGTTCTGTGTAGCTTTCGGTGAAGATGACAGAACGACCTGGGTGGGCCATTAACCTAGTGGTAAAGGTCCCTTGGCGCGGCAAGGCATTAGAGAGATTAAACAGTTCAAAGGCTGCAATGAATCTTGCCATTTACCTGCTTCTGGCTGTTACTAGCTTTCCTTTTGGGCATCAGTATAAACTGTCAAGCCAGCCTCACCTGATGCCACTGTGGGGATAAACTGTCGGCAATCCCCGGGTTCCTGAATTCCGGAGTTGAAGAGTTTCATTGGATGAACCCATTCATTTGCTAAAAAGCAAATCTGAGTTTACCAGGAATAACGGGAATACCCACGAGTACAGATGCAGCAGAGCCAAATTCAAACCCAGATTTTTATCCCCAAGCCCCAGTCACTAATAATTCAACGTGTGACACACTCACAATGCCATCTGAATCAGATTTGTGTATGTCAGTATTGTATTTTGTTTCTTTATCCTCCTTTTATAGTGTCTCTGGATGTCCTCTAGCAGATAAGACTCTTAAGTCCCTCATGGCTGCTAACTCTCAGGAGCTGAAGTAAGTGTCGGGAGGCGTGCCCTCTTTGGCCTTCGTTCCCCACGGTGGGAACCCCGTTGTCATTCAGTGTCAGTGTGACCAGCAAGTAGCAAACTACACCTAACTACATGATAACAAAGCACCTCTTCATGGGAAGCTTGAATGACAACAAAAATTGGAACCTAGTTAATGTGTTTGCTTTGGAGGCCTTATAGAGTACGTTATAATAATTTTTAAAGGAATGATGCAATATTTTTATTTTTTAAAGAGAATTTAAAAACATTAGAAATGATAGAGTATTTCACTAAACAAGATGGTAGGAATTCAACAATGGTTGTTATGTTGCATATTGTTGTCTTCAAATTAGCTGTTCAGATTACCAGTTATAAGCATGCAAAATTGGTCAAAAAACTTAAAAAGAAAAAAATTTAAGCATTAACTGTGTCCTGGTGTAAGGGGAATGATGTAATTATTAAATGCAATACTTTTCAGTCAGTTACAGACCTATGAAGTGTGCAAGAGCATTTCCATCACCTAATTTTAAGAAAATTGCACAGTATTTTACTTTATTAGCATTCAAAATCATACAACTATCTTTTAGTTTGGGGCACTAAAACCAATTTTGGTTCATTTCTACCCAATCATGAGATCACAAAGTCAGATGTGTATTAACATTTACTTATTTTATTTTTCCTTTTTATCTTTTTTATTCCCAAATTTTCATTTGCTTGATGTCATATTACATATAGCATAATCAAAAATTGAATCCATTTTATACCCTTGATAGTGAACCAGCATACCAGTTTGGAGTTTTACTACCAGAAACAGTAAAGAAAACTGTGAAATATGCATTTCTCATTTTCAAAGTGTTAAATACACTTTTAGAAATCATCTTATTGATTATCATTTTTCTACATTGAAGCATAAGTTAGTGATTAATAATTCACTGACTGAAAAGTGAGATGTACCAGAGTATCTTATTTTATTCTAAACTTTTCACTGTTACATCTTAATCATAGCTTAATTATAGCTGTTGGCCCTCTAAAGTATTTTCTCTAAATGTTATTTCAAAACAGTAGGTAACATGTTGAAATCGTATAGATTAAGAGATCCTATTGAACTGTTTAACATTTGTATTTGTGCCAATGTGAAATAAGCAATATTTTGAGTTTTCTATACAAGAAAAAAAGACATTTTATTGACCTCTTATTCAGATAGTCAAGAAGAATCTCTCAAAAAAAAATATTTAGAACAGGTGTTCCCATAATTACAATATGCTGGTAAGACACTATGTCACTAAAAAACCTTAATAGAGAAAGATAAGCAGGCAAGGTTTCCTTACAATAGAGAATACACATTATGTCTTTAAATGGTTAATTAAATATTTAATGCACACTTCTCCCATTAGCTGGAAGAGAAATGTGTGGATTTTCTATTTCATTTTGGAAAAAAAGTATTTATCTTCTTTTTTGTGCCCATCAATTGGATATAAAAGTATTTCATAAAAGTTAATAGGGTTTTTTGGGGGGTTACCAGGGAATTGGACTCAGGACCTTATGCTTGCTGGGCAAGCTCTGTGTTGCTGAGCTATATCCTCAGCAACAGGGCTTAAATTTAAAGAAAGGGAGAGTATTCACAATTTTCTTTAGATTATTGCTTTTCTCACCTTCAACTCGTGTGTGTGTAGATCTGGACTATGGGGGTATAATGTGAAATAATAAATGAAGGTAATCTACACAAAAACCTTCAGAAAATAGTTATTTTGTGATGGCGTCTGTTTTTATTTATATCAGAGATTTTTAATAGACAATAAAAAGAGAAATATCTGTAGGAACTTCTGTTTTCAAGTGTACTTTGAAACACATTCCAAAACAGCTTTCCAAGTAGAAATATATTCCTCTTCCTTTTTTATTCTTCTGATTTGAAATGTAATGGTTTCTTGTCAGTGATAGTTATGGGTAGATTTTCACAAAGACCAGCTAACCTAGGCCCTGAGGCAGAGCAGACCAGGGGCAAATTATTTAAGTCCTCTGATAATCATATGAAAGTTCTAGGTCTCTTAGGTTCACATATACCACTGCTGTTCATGTGAAATTAATGAATTATCATGGCAGGACTGAATTATCAGAGAAAATAAATTATTCATGGAAACAATCTGGAAGCGTGTTCTTCTTACATGAAAGATAAGAACTTCGCATGATGTAGACAGAAGCCCAGCAGTAAGTTGTGGGCTGACTTTCAAGTACCTTCCAATATAAGATTTAAAAAACAAAAAGAATGTATAATAAATAGCAAATAAGACTTTGTCTACCAGGCGTCCCATAGTAGTTCCACATTTTAGATTTTTTTCTCAAAAAATGGATTCTTAAGCAAAAGCTACTCATATTGAAGAAAAAGAAAGGAAAAGAAAGTGACCACCCACTGCAGCTTGTTCTGTCCAGTTCTACTAGAACGTATCACAGCCCGCTTCGCTCCCTAACCTTGTGGCGCTTGTGTTTCCTAGGTGTCCAACCCCAGGCTGCGATGGTTCAGGGCATGTGACTGGAAACTATGCTTCCCACAGAAGGTAGGCTTTGTGCCCCTGGGAGATGGAAGCCAGCGTGTGAGCAGCAGCATGAAGTGAGACCACAAGGTGTTGTGGTTGGGTTCTTGGTTATATCTTTCAGCTTGTCTGGCTGTCCTCGTGCGAGGAAAGGCGGTGTCAAAATGACCCCGACGAAGGAAGAGAAAGAAGACCCTGAACTTAAGTAAGTGAGAGAGTAGAAGTTTCGGGGCTGCTGTGTTCTGCAGGCTGAGAGGGTGAGGCTTGATTGGGGTGCAGTGGGGCATCACTGAGCCTGAGAGAAGAGAGATCCCATCAAACATCAGGGCCCCGGGTGTTTATCCTGTTTCCAGTTTCTTTCAGAGAACACAGCACTTTGAAGGTGCTATAGAATGACAAAGGCAGCAGCATTTTCCCCTGAGAGTGTAATTTTGCGTAAGGTCAAATTGTTCCTAAATACGCTACCAAGTCTTGGGGTAACACACAGCACAGATGCAGAAATATAATGTCTACTGTATTTCTAAATGCCATACTTAAACATTTACACACCAAAACTGCAGCGCCATAAGTGATGGGCCATGTAGCATGGATCAAGGTAGTTAACATTTTATACTCTATGACTCTGTCCAGAAACAATTTAATTTAGTGCCTATGTGAATGACACTAAAGCTAAAAAGTATATGAACTTGACTCCAAAAATGTATGGTAAATCAGCTAAATTGTACAAACCTCATTCTTCCTACCTACAAAATGGGATAATACCACTGTCTGCCCAATGGCTTTGCAGTGAATATTAAAAGAGATAATGCATGAAAATTGCTGAGCTTGGAGCCTGTGGACTATTGTTCCTATGAATGCGTTGCTGTTTTGCCCTGTGTGGTAGCGTCCTTTCAAACCCTGTAATTTCATGACTTGCCTCCTGGATAGTATGGAATTGTTTCTGCCCTTCTTCCGGCTGGTGACCTCTCTGCTGTGTCTCTCTAGATGTCCTGTAATAGGATGTGACGGCCAAGGTCACATATCAGGTAAATACACTTCGCACCGCACTGCTTCGGGCTGTCCCCTGGCCGCCAAAAGACAGAAGGAGAACCCTCTCAACGGGACCCCTCTCTCCTGGAAACTGAACAAGCAAGAACTGCCCCACTGTCCCTTGCCTGGCTGCAATGGGCTGGGCCATGTAAATAATGTTTTTGTCACGCACAGAAGGTAACATTTGTTTTTTGTCATTTTGTTCTGTTGTTGTGATTGGTCATCACCTGGATTGCTTTGAGGGTAGGGGGGTAAAACCCTCTTCAACGTCATTAATTATAGCACTCTAGATATCTATCATAACACTGAATCTTGCTAAATGGACGTTTGACTACACTGGAGAACAAAAAATAATGTTCTATTTCTGAAAATTTACTACACAGTTTTCAAGAGCTCTAGAGACTGTGCATTTGGGTTTTTTTGTATTCTAAAATATTGCATATGCTGCTATTTTAAAATGGTTCAGTCTTTTAATGGTTCACTTCAGTTCCAAGTGGTGTTATCTGCTCTATTTTGTTATGTAATTGTAAACTTCCGCTTTACGTATTTCTATCCTTCCCGCCCCTCATGAATTGGCTGACTTTCAGGCAAAAATTGTAATTGTTTTGCCACTAGGAAGATGTGATGCACCCCCAGCAGCCAGAAAGAAGAAAGCATAATGACTGCTAAACGTACAGGGGATGAAGGAGAATTGGTAAAGCCTCTCAGAATGTCACAGAAACTTAATTTCTTTATCACGGAGTACTGTGTATTCAACCACACCTATGTCAGGCAAGAGTCATCCTTCTCCCGTTTTTGGTTCACATTCAACCTAAAGGAAAAAACCTAGAAGATTCATATGTTTCTCCCATCGAGGGGAGATAAACATGTTTATGGGGATAAACATCTCCCATAAAGATGTTTATCCCATCTTTCTCTTCCTGCCAGCTAGTGTACATGATGCTGGTTGAACTTCGCTGAAGCCAAGCATGGCCCTTCACAGTTGTAATCTCAGCATTCTGGGAGGATGAGGCAGTAGGATCGCAAGTTGAGCCCCGCCTGAGCAATTTAATAACTTAGTGACCCTGTGTCAAAGTTTAAAAGGGGGCAGCATACTTGGCATTCTCTGAGTGATCAGTGTCGCTAAATAAAAAATAAAGTAATCCGGTGAAGCTTTTGGAAAATTTTGATGCTTTGTGTATGAGCAGTGCACAAAAGAAGCAAAGCTGGGGCACTTTGGCAGAGTTCATTTCTAGGACAGAGGTCAGTGGTATCAGAAAATAAAGTCTTCTGAGGGTGGGTTATCTCGTGGCTGTCACTGAAACCTGCTTATTAGGAAAATTTGAATTTTTCAAGTGGTTTATTTTTCATGGCTTTGCGGTGCAAGATCGTGTCCACCAGTGCACACTTCATTTTACTTAGAATTTAGACGATTATTTCACATTCAGGAACACAGAGCAAATCAAGTGTGTGCCATACACTGTGTCACCTGCCATTGTGTCTTAAAAAGGCGGATGAAGAAATAGCTTAATGTTGCGTTCATATGCATTAATAGAGCTGCACATCTGGGCAAAACCATAGAAGGCACACTTTTCTGCCTTTCCAGTACAGTATCCGTACCCTGAAGGTTACAACCTAGGCCTGGCAAACTCCAACTTCAAAAGGAAAAAGAACTTTGAAATATTTTCCTTCAAAAGGAAAAAGAACTTTGAAATATTTGAATATAAAATTTGTTTTGCCTCCAGGATATTATAACTACACTAAAATATGCAAAATATCAAGTAGCATTTTTGAACCCAAAACCCCAATGTTATAACTTAGCTGTATATTTGGGTTCTAAGTCATGTGATTTGGGACAGATGTTTCATTAACTTTTACACAATACTGTACTAACCTAGAGATAGGCTACAGGTTGTCTAAACAATGTAGGGTGGTTGGGGAGAGGTGGGAAGAGGGGATTAATGAAATGTTATCATCCGTTATTCTACAAACGGACTCACCATAGGACCTTTCAAAACTCCACCTTACCAATTACAGTCCTCCCCTTCATAACCAAGTTCTGAGAACACCACATGTGGCAATAAGACAAAATTGTGCAGACCCTAGAAAGGACTACAGTAGTGAAGCCTAAGGGGGCCATGACTGACAGAAGCTAACAGAATGGAAGGCACAGTTCTGAGTTCAATCTGTGTCTCTCATTTTTTTCTTTTTTGTATAAAATAATTTAATATATAATAATAATTTAATATAAAATAATAATACCTATTACTATTTATATTATCATGTTTTATATTATTATTTCTCACATTTCATAGAATCTTGTTGTAGAATAACTTACTATTCTTTAAAAATACAGTCACTCGCATTTATGAAGGGCTTTGCTCCAAAAATATTTCCTTCTATTTTACATAGCCTCACCAATGCCAGGTTGATGTGATTGCTTTATGCGGGAAACAATATTTCAAATGGCTGAGTATGGTCACTTTTATTTTGATCTAACATTTGTTCATACAAAGACAACAAAACTGAAAAAGAATGAACGGCTACCTGGAACAACAGAACTCTCTGATCACAGATGATGGAGAAAAGGTTTTGTTCAATGTTGTCATTATCATATTGGTGAAATTTAAATAGAAGGGAGGACATTAAAGGACAGAAGGCTGCTGAAGAGTGGGAGTATTCACTGAGCAGGGTTAAAGTACCACCTGAGGATAATAGATTACCACGGGAAGTCTAAACACGCAGCCGCAGCTCTCATTACTCTCCTTTCAGGCTGGAGATTTTTTTTTTTAATGAAAATGTTTTAATGGTTAAAAATGTAAAACAATCCCATATTCAGACTGAATTTGCTACTGGGAGAGTAGTAAGGTACTTTGGATTTCTGTTCAGTTGAATCATTATGTAAAGAGCCGACCACACTTTGTATAAAAACAGGAAGAACTAGATGAGGCTCTTTCATTTTCATGGAATTTTGAGCAGCTAGGAAAAAATCTTATTCATAATCTACATGTACAATTTTCTGTTTACAGAACATAAAGTAGCCACCAGGAAAATGAGGGCACTTTCACAAATGCAGCAGAGTAGCATTCTCTAAAAATGAATTAAATCATGACAGTGAAGCAGCAATGAATATCTGTGCTTCAACTCAAGGAAAAAAACACAAAACATTTTCCATTACTGGAGAGCCTTGTGCCTTTGCCTTGATAGGTATTTATTGGTTATTTTCTACAACAAGCCCAGGACTTATGATATAATTAGTCGACCCCAAAACATCAATAATAGGTAGCAAATGAAACTTCTCAATTTTTGTAAGAAATAGTATGCATTTCACACATTAGTATGAATTCTGTTTTCACAGCTTATCTGGATGTCCTCTCAATGCACAAGCTATCAAAAAGGGCAAGGTCTCTGAGGAACTCATGACCATCAAGCTCAAAGCCACTGGGGGTGAGTGACCATTTCCACTGAAGTCTCGGCACAGCCATACAAGGGTCCTGCAGCTCGACATGTGCACTGTACACTACATACACTGTGCACGTATGCAGCCTGCATGTGTATTTTAATATGTGAGAAGAAATGGTCAGATTTAAGCAGAAACAAAAATTCATCTGAGAATCAATTTCTTGGGGTTTTCACTTTTTCTTCTTCTTCTTCTTCTTTTCCTCCTCCTGCTCCTCCTCTTCCTCCTCGTCCTTCTTCTCGTCCTTCTTCTCCTCCTTCTCCTCCTTCTCCTTCTCCTTCTCCTCCTCTTTCTCCTTTTCTTTCTCCTTCTCCTTCTTAGTGCTAGGAATTAATTAATTAATTCAGGGCCTCAGCAAGTGCTAGACAAGGGCTCTACCCCTGAGCTACATCCCCAAGCCCTCTCCCTTACTCTTTAGTAAGAATCCCTAAAGAGAAATCAGGAAATACTATTTGATGGACACACAGAAGTTGTGTCATTCAGTTTGGACAGTGACAGTTTCCTGTGTGTGTGAGTATGTGTGTGTGTGTGTATGTGTGCGTGCACATGCATACACATGCATTCTTGGTGTAAGTTACCCATCAAATTTCAGAAACACAATTTCTCACATGTATATTTGAACTTTTAAATATTATTCTTCTATACTCAGAAGAATATTTCTCCGTCATTCTGGGTGTATACACTTAGCATCTCCATTTCCTTATATATTTCCCGAGGATCAGTCCCTTTTCAAAATTAAGCTACAGGTATGTGGTTTCTGAGTTCTGATTTGGATGCTTCCTTTTTTCTTTGGTCCTTTAGTGCCTTCCTATGGTTTCTGTTCAGCATTATCTCAGCCCTGTGCTGATTCTCCTCAATCTTTCTAAAGCCTGTGAGGCGTGATGGCGAAGTGATCATTTTCCTTCAGAAATTGTATCTGATGATGATGTCTTTGGCACATGACTAAAATGGAAGCGGGTTTTCTCTTCTGTTCTCTTCTGTGCTGTTTTGTTACTGAGTATCAAACCCATGTAAAGCCTTTTACATGTCAGGCACTCACTTACTGCTCAGCTATAGCTCCCAGCCCAAGCTGAGGACTTTCCACAGCTGCCATTTCAGTTCTCTGAAAGACTTGCTCTTTCCTTTTAATGTGAGCATGAGGGTTTTCCCCCCTGTTCTTGAGGCAGGATCTCCCTGTGTTGCTTACCTTGCACAGGCTGGCCTCAAACTCTGGGTTCTTCTGGGGTTTCCTGACTCAGCCTCCAGGATAGCTGGCATAGGTGTTTTGCTCTGGAGTTTCAAAAAGAAATTGTGCAATGTCCCAGAGAGAAGGACCTCTCCAGTTCCCCACTCTTCCCCTCCTAAGGAGGGAGACTGTCCTTGATTTAGTTAGTCCCTTGGTTGGGATCTAATCTCTTTCTGTTTACTACTAAGAGCCAGGGAGGGCAACACCCAGCAGTGGAGGAGTAAACACTCCGGATGTGGGGCCAGCGCCTGTGTCCTTCCCCCGTTCTGGCATCCAGAGGCTCATCAAAGGCTCTTTCCCCAGGGCTTTCACTGTTGCTTGGAAAGAATCCCCAATCCTCAAATGCCTCTGCCTATTGTCATTAAAATTGGGACAATTTAATGTGTACTTATTTATACATCACCTTAATTCAAACAGAACTTAAAGGGCAAGAGTGTGAAGCTACAGAAAAGAAAGCTACTTAAAAATTAATTCCAACAAGGTACAAAGGAAAATCAACAGTAAAAAGGCAAGAGAGGGCAAGTCTGAGGACTGCAAAACAAATATGCAACCCACGCCATTTCACACTCAGTAAATAAAGATCTCAAATCTGACCCCACTTTTTAGAAGTCAAAGCAAGAGGAATGTAATTACTAGGAGAATCACACTGTAGCAAGTAAATTCAAAGCCAATCTCTTTCTAGAACTGAGTGGGTGAAGCATGTATTTACTGAGCGTCTTCAGGAAGAGAATACTAACAATACCTGTACTCTTAAATATAAATCACGGGGCTGCTCCTAAAGGATAACAGATAAGCCAGGGGCTTAACATTAAATTAAAATCTCCACACTTGTTTCCTTAAAGACCATTACTAGTTCTTAAAAACAAAATTAGGTTATCTACACAGGAAGGAAGGTGTATCCTTCCACGCTGTGTGGGTATTTGTGCACGTGGAGAACCTTCCAGCCCTTTCCAGGTGGTGAAATTGTGTGTTCTATGTTTTGTAATTCATTACTCCTTGTGGACATTAACTCTGCTCATTCCTTTAGTAATGAAAGTGATCACATTTATATTGATTTATTTTCCTCTAAATAAAAAAGTAAAGTTTCATTCTGTGGAACAAACATGCAAATAAACATTCACTCAAGAAATCCAATGGCATTTGTTAATGATATAATAGAATTATTTTGTTTGTATAATATAAAAAATAACTACTTCATCCCCTTTTCTAAACTGAGTATACCTACTGTATACAGGTATGTACATCACTTGTAAAATCATATGAAATACAAAACAATTATAAGTTGCCTAACCACTATTTACACAGATTGGGCAAGATTATTACCAAGTAAAAGTTTGAATCATTGAGTGGAAAAATTGAGCTGTCTTGCTCATCTATGGGTGGACTCTATTTTTAAAAACAGAATTATTAAACAATTAAATAAAATGTTTTGTGGAAAATGTTTTTCTTGATCAGCAGTGATACCCACCTAGTCTAACATTCTATTTTAAGTACGTATGTAAAGAAACAGTGCATATTTTTATTGCTACTTCCAAAACTAAATATCTGTGAACAAGGGTAGCACTGTAATAGTCCCCTGTAACTGTCCAGGAGCCTTGGGGATGCCTGAATCTGAAAATAGTGTACAGACATCTATAGAGAAGTTCAATACTATGCATATATCACCTTAATTCCAACTGTATTTAAAGGGCAAGAAGTGTGAAGCAAAGGTGCTTAAAAATTGACTCCAACACGATACAAAGGAAAATCTAAGAAGGCAAGATATGTAACATATAAAATACTTTGTTCTATGTACGTGCCCATCATAAAGTTTAATTTTTAAATCAGTAACAGTGAAAGATTTAAAAGAAATTAATAAAATAGGACAATTATAACAATATAATTAATAAAAGTTATTTAAAACATGTTACTTCTGGCGTTTTCCCTTTAATATTTTCAGGCTGCCGTTGATCTTGGGAAACTGAGGCCCCAGAAAGTGAAGTTGCAGAAAAGGGGGGGACAGCTGTAAAATGAAGGCTAAGGGAACATATTCTGGAACCAAGGGGCTCATGTTTAAATCTCAGCCCCACTACTTACTTAGCTCACTTAGAAAACCTTAGTTCTCTCATCCGTACCATGAGGTAAAAAATGTTTCTACCTCGTGGTTTTCTTAGCAGGGCCAAAAAAGTCACTGACTGGAAGAGAAAAGTGCTTTTAAATGTAAAACTACCTGGGGCTGGAGATGTAGCTCAGAGGAACAGCACGTGCCCTGCAAGTACGAGGTCTTGAGTTTGATTCCCAGTACCAAAAAAAAAAAAAGACATGTAAATGTCAAATGTTTTACTAAAGAAGAAATAAGCTTCTTAGAGACTATGTTTATGGGCAGGTGAGTGTGTTAGTGGAGACAAAGAAGATAATTTTAAGAAATGGTAGAGGTTGACTAAACTTGATCTTGCCACTAAAATACCTCCCCAAATCCCAGAAATCATAGCAAAAGTATTAATTCACTCCTTTACTAATTTCAAAACCCTTACGGAGAGCCCGGTCTGTGTTACATCATGTGATGTTTCTTCTTTGATGCCCTGTCCCAGAATGAAAATCTCCCCACAGCTTCAAGTGTGTGCCGTCAAAGGCATCTTCCATATGGCACCGACTTCATGCACAGGCTTGGTTACTGTCAGTCAGCTTCCTGTTACTGTAACAAAATACCTGAAATAATCCATTTATTAAGAAAATAGATTTAGACTGGCTCGCAGTTTTGGAAGTTCTAGTCCAAAATCTGTTGGTCCATTGTTTTAGGCCTGGGGCAGCACACCATGGCAGCAAAACCACTTACCTCATGACCAGAAGGTGAAAAGGGCAGGGGTCCCTTCCAGGGCACACCCCTAATGACCCAAAGACACTTGCAAGGCCCCACCCCTTAAGGTTTCCACAGCGTCCCGCTAGCACCACCCTGTTAAGCATGGGCCTTTTGGGGCACATTCAAAATCTGAACTATAGGAGTTTTCTTCACTGACACTGGGCGTCAGGACACATAATCCTAACCAAACCCCAGTACCAGCAACCCTAACTGCAAGAGTCTTCTCAAAGGCTGGGGCAGGAAGACTGTGTGTCCAGCTTGCGCTATGTAGTGAGTTCAAGGCCAGCCTAGACTACATAACGAGACCCTGTCTCAGAGAACTTTTTAAAAGTGCCTTCTCAAAAACATCCAGAATTAAGCTTTTATTTACCTTCCTTCAGGTTGGTGCCTCTCAGCCCTTGTGGTATAGAGGTGGCCCTCAGCACCACTTGCACCAGTAAAACCAGTCACCACACATTCCTTTTTCTCTCATCTTCCATTTCCGGCCAGTCACAAGTCTTGCAAACTCTGCCTACAAATACCCTGAGTAGATCTCCCTCCCTGTACCCCCAATTCACTGTCCTGGTGCACAGGGCCCTGCGACCTAGCCAGGACCCCAGCAGTGCCTCCTCACCGCTCTTCTGGCTATACTCTGTCTCCCCTCCAACTCCCCATGAAAGTCCTCCACCAGCTTCTGCTGCACTAAGAAGGAAGCCAAGCTCTGTGCTCTGTCCACTGTGGCCCGCTCCTCCTCACATACCTTCCCCGTCTGGGGCGCACCGCCCCCTTCCCACCGCACCCACACCCTTTCTGCGTCCTTCTCCCAGAACGCCCACCTTGCTGCTTGCTCTTCCCTTGCCTGCCCCCTTCTCAGCTCCAAAGCCTCGGTGTGAGGAAGTCTTCTCCCTGGGGGTTCCCACAAGTGCCCGCTGTTTCCTCCAGAGCACTTCATAGTTTATAATGTTGTCTGCTCCCAGATACACTGTAAGGAAATGCCACCCCCTGATGTGCAATTTTATTGCCCTTTTCATTTGCTCGGATCAGAAAAATGTAGTGTGTATAGCAACCAACCACGGAGAATCCAGATATTTCCATCCTTTCTTCTTTGTCTCCTCCTACCTACTGCTTGTGTGACAGAGGATTATTCACCTAGCATACCAGCTAGTAGAATATGGTGCTCAGAAATGCACCGCTAGGTATAGCCAGCCAGGGTGGAAGAAATCCTGTGTCTGCTGAGATACTATGGATTCATCAGTGTGTCCTGGGAAACTGTTCATTGTTTTCTCAGTAGCTTTGTCAGACTGTTTACCCATAGATGGATCTGGATACTGAGGTATCTACATCTTAGATATTGATCTGTTTTCCTTTTTTATTGAATCTCTCAGAGACCAGAGTGAGATCAATCTTATAACATACTCTCCTCACTGTTCCATGCGTAGCTCACTTTTACTTACATGGTTCTCTTTCTTCTTTCTTCCTTCCTTCCTTTCTGTCTTTCTTTCTTTCTTTCCTTCTTCTTTCTTTCTTTCCTTCTTTCTTTCTTTCCTTCTTTCTTTCCTTCCTTCCTTCTTTCTTTCTTTCTCTCTTTCTTTCTTTCTTCTTTTTTTCTTTCTTTCTTTTGTTCTTTCCTTCCTTCTTTCTTTCCTTCCTTCCTTCTTTTCTTTCTTTCTCTTTCTTCTTTCTTTCTCTCTTTCATTCT